TACACAGATACCATGTGTACAAATATACCCTGCAGGGTATATTTGTATACATGGTATCTGTGTACGCAGGGTATATTTGTACACATGGTATCTGTGTACACAGGGTATATTTGTATACAGGTTCGTAGACAGGGTATCGCTGAACAGAACGTATCTCTATACAGAGGGTATCTGTATACACTGAGTATCTCTATACAGAGGGTATCTGTATACACTGAGTATCTGTATACAGAGGGTATCTGTATACACTGAGTATCTCTATACAGATTACTCAGTGTATACAGATACCCTCTGTATACAGATACTCAGTGTATACAGATACCTCTGTACAAAGATACTCAGTGTATACACGCTGTACAAAGATACTCAGTGTATACAGATACCCTCTGTATAGAGATACCCAGTGTATACAGATACCCTCTGTATACAGATACTCATTGTATACAGATACCTCTGTACAAAGATACTCAGTGTATACACGCTGTACAAAGATACTCAGTGTATACAGATACCCTCTGTACAAAGATACTCAGTGTATACAGATACCCTCTGTACAGAGATACACAGTGTATACAGATACCCTCTGTACAGAGATACACAGTGTATACAGATACCCTCTGTACAAAGATACTCAGTGTATACAGATACCCTCTGTACAAAGATACACAGTGTATACAGATACCCTCTGTACAAAGATACTCAGTGTATACAGATACCATCTGTACAGAGATACACAGTGTATACAGATACCCTCTGTATAGAGATACTCAGTGTATACAGATACCCTCTGTACAAAGATACACAGTGTATACAGATACCCTCTGTACAAAGATACTCAGTGTATACAGATACCATCTGTACAAAGATACACAGTGTATACTGATACCATCTGTACAAAGATACTCAGTGTATACAGATACCCTCTGTATACAGATACTCAGTGTATACAGATACCCTCTGTATAGAGATACTCAGTGTATACAGATACCCTCTGTACAGAGATACACAGTGTATACAGATACCCTCTGTACAAAGATACTCAGTGTATACAGATACCCTCTGTACAAAGATACTCAGTGTATACAGATACCCTCTGTATACAGATACTCAGTGTATACAGATACCCCTTTGTACAGAGGGTATCTGTATACACTGAGTATCTCTGTACAGAGGGTATCTGTATACACTGAGTATCTGTATACAGTGGATATCTGTATACACTGTGTATCTTTGTACAGAGGGTATCTGTATACACTGAGTATCTGTATACACTGTGTATCTTTGTACAGAGGGTATCTGTATACACTGAGTATCTCTATACAGAGGGTATCTGTATACACTGAGTATCTTTGTACAGAGGGTATCTGTATACACTGAGTATCTGTATACAGAGGGTATCTGTAATCTGTATACACTGAGTATCTGTATACAGAGGGTATCTGTATACACTGAGTATCTGTATTTAAACAGTCTATCTCTACACACATGGTACAGAAGTCAATGAGAAGTACTAAACACAGGTCGAACATAGTTTATTTACGCACGCACACGCACACGCACGCACACGCACGCACGCACACGCAATTACAGATGCTGTGAGGAGGGAGGGTCAGTGTGCGTTCATAGCACTAGGTTGCTTAGCATGCTTAGCAGTGTGTGCGTGTGTGCGTGCGTGTGTGTGTGTGTGCGTGCGCGCGCGTGTGTGTATGTGTATGTGTGTGTGTGCGTGTGTGTGCGCGCGTGTGTGTGTGCGTGCGTAAATAAACTATGTTCGACCTGTGTTTAGTACTTCTCATTGACTTCTGTACCATGTGTGTAGAGATAGACTGTTTAAATACAGATACTCAGTGTATACAGATACCCTCTG